CACTTCTATAAGTCGAAAGGAGACTGCGACCATACCCGAGGCCACAACATCTTGGTTTTCACATCTTCAAGGCTAAATGGAGTTTACTGATATCGTGAGACTTACCAATCTCAATGTGAGAAAGATCAATTATCTGTACGGAAGTCTCCGTAGGCAATCTATAGTGACAAAGATGTATTCGCCTTATTTCGTTAAGGTGATGAAAAACTGGTAGTTGAATTTCACACAGTGGTTAACATGTCAAGATTATACGCTGCGGCATCATGGTTCGAGTTCCGCTGGGGTTGTTGATAAAACGTTGACGAGGTTGAAACTGCCGTCCATTCGTGCATGGATAAGAATTCCTTTTGGGAGGCAAGGCCATGTGAAATCCAATGGAAACGCAAGGCCTACTCAAATCAATGTGGAAAAGCTCAACTACCAGTCCTCCTTATCACCCTAAACGATATAGGCTGAGTACTTCTGATTAGTCTTAAAAGCCTACTTAGAAATCAAAGTCAACATTGACATTCTCTCCCTGACTCTTGTCTTATGGCTAGCGCTGTTCAAGTCCTTCTTCATGAGGATCTCTGAAGATGCAGACTGGATTTTATGCCATAGATAGCGAATAACGATCTTCTACTGGTTTAGGGCATTCAGTGAAGATGCATTTTTCTGAGCTCCACCTGAAGGCATGGTGATCACGAGAACCACAGTGAAGCTGACTTTCGCCAGGCGATGTGAACTCAGCCGTTACAGCCCTAGTCCCACATTTCAGACAGTTCTTCAGGAGTCTTGACCAAATTTACTCTATCGGGATCCATTATATTAATGTGATATACAATGTTGGAGAGATTCCTGCAGACTTCTCTTATTCCCTCAGGATCTAATTCATTAGTGGAAGAAAAAATATAAGCATCGTATTAGTTTCATAGGCCTGAGATAGATTTAGTGTAATTACCGTGCACATGGCAAATCTAGGACGTGACCCATTATGGTAAATGCGGAAAGGGATTACATTGTACAAAGGTATGATGAAAAATTGGGTTTCGAAGAATTTCTTAATGAAATATTGTTGCATGAATCTCCATTCCAGAGGGAAAGATGATTGGAAAGAATTCGCGATGTGCTCTCACCGGAAACCGAAGGAGGATTGTCGCGTAGGGAAGACTGTTTAATTTTGCGAAGAAGTACTCGGCTCACCGTCCTGCGACTCCTATGAAACTGTGCTAAGCTCTCGTCTGTACCACCGTTATAGACATCATCAGAGCAGGTATTCATACTTCACGAAATTGAGTAAGATATACTAATTGCTGAGCTTACTTACATTTCAAGTGAGAGTGTTGAGTGAAGAGATTCGAAGTTTGGTTCCACCAGAAGACGATGGTAGATTCCTCTTGACCAGCTGTCGATTGGCTTTACTGGAAAATTCATGCTGACGCTGTTTCAGAGGCAATCTTCTTCGATTCCGGTGAAAAGCTGCTAAGCTTTCGTTCGTCATATGATGAACATCATCAGAGCAAGGTTACATGGTCACAACAAAATTCAAGCTAATGAGTCGAGGAGGGTCTGAATATTCTCTAAACGAAGGGATTACTGAAAAAAGTGTTAATTTCTCTTCATACATTGTTTTTATGTTCCATGTCCTTGGTAAACCACCCAACTTTTTCACAAGCTGACAGGAACGCAAAATCAGCAACCGAATAGAATTGTCCAATTCTCTATCTTTCCACTCTCCACAACTTGTTAACTACAATAGATACGTAATTTTCTACTAACGCTAATGGGTAATTGTTCACCAACAGTATATCTCTCAGTCTACCGGTCTCATGATTTTAAGGAAAGCATTGCAAAGGTACATTCCTTAGTTTAATCAAAGGTATGAAGACCAAGATGGTGTGGCCTTTTGTGTGTTCGCAGTCTCCTCTCGTTCTATAAAAGTTGTTTGACCTTGTTTTCGCAACTTAGCCACATTGGTAGGAAGACTTAAAGGAACTTACCTAGTCCGGAGTCCATTATATGCATGATTATCTCAAAATTAGTACCGTGGACCGTCGAGACTCACTGACGATGCCGACTACGATGCCGGCGAAAGGTCTGGGAAAGCACTACGTCCATTGTCCAACTTTGGAAATAATCATGCATACAATGTACTCCGGACTAGGTACGTTCCTCTAAGTCTTCCCACCAATGTGACCAAGTTGCGAAAACAAGGTCAAACAACTTCGGTACATTCCCTACTCAGATCTAGGGCTTGACTTAGACAAATCTTGTCCGAGCCTCTTAGTTTGGGAGACTACCTTAAATTCCTGAGTTTAGCGGATAATTTACATGATAAAGTTTTCTGACAATTTAGAAAGGATCATGCTAAGAAACGACCTACATCTAATGAGTCGAAGTGTAAGGATAGCCGTTTCCAAAAAGTTGTAAATCTGTCCAAAATTTCATTGGACTTTTCTACTGAGGATGTCCTAGCAAAGGGCTTAAAGCTTGCCTTTCCAAATATTAAGGACTTCATATAAGAAATTTGGAAAAATTTATATGTTTATCAGATAGTAGGAGTAACATTAAATTACAAGTTGTCCCTTTAAGTTATGGCCATATAAGAAAAGGACCGTTAAGACTATCATCAGGAAGCTTAAGGAGAACGGGAAACTAGTATTAAGGGCAGACAAAGGAGAAGCAGTAGTATTTATGGATAGGACTGATTATGCAGAGAAAATGTTAGAGGCATTAGATGATGGTACAACATATAAGACTATAATTAGGGACTCGACAGAAGGCCTTAAGGTCAGGCTTAAGGACAACTGGAAAAGTGGAAAATAAATGCACTTCTTCATCGAGAGGCAGCGTGATACATAAGACATCACGATTTATATGTATTCAGTTAAAGCAAATCTCCGAAACTTGGAAGTTTTCAGTAAAGAACTCTTACGACTTTATTAAGTCGAATGAATCTCAGACGATAGAAATAGAAGATCTGCTGATAAGTTCAGATGTAGTGTCTACGTCCACTAACATTCCGATAAACGAGGCAATGGAGGTTTTAGAATTAACTCTACATCAACACCCTGAAATCAGAACAGGTAAAAAATTAAGCGAAGGTTCAATAATTAGATTAGTCAATTTGGCAATGTTTACTAAATATTGAAGGTATAAAGACCAAGATGGTGTGGCCTTTTGTGTGGTCGCAGTCTCCTTTCGTTGAATAGA